GGTAGACGATGCATTACAGGAAGAAGATCAATCAAAGACGACTCAATATCATTATGGGCTTGACCACGGAGATATTGGGCAAGATCGTCTGCATTGACTTTGGTTCGAACATATTCAATACCTTCATCATTGCAGTCGATGGAAAATGGATCAATGCCTTTTCTAAATCTTCCAGCAAAAGGGTAAAACTTGGTTAGCGTCTCCGACAATGATTTTTCAAGCTTATCATCATGATCATATGATGAAGTGCTGTTCGGCAAGTAGTTGAAGACAATTGGTACATATGCACCAATATCCATCTGATCGAACAAGGAAAGCTTCAATCTCCGAAGATTATCCGGGGTAGGAGCTGAGGGTTTCACCATTTTCCTTGATTGAATTTCAATATAACAATTCATCTTTTTTTTTGGATGAATAAAGTGTTGTTTCTGAATAAATCTATCAATGTTCATTCCTATTATATATATAGTTTGGCATGGCGTCAATCTTTAATATATTGCATTTAACATTCATAAAGTGCATTGTTCAGAACAAACACTAGTGTATATACTACAGAATTTATTTGGGCGGTTAATTACGCTAAAAGTTTTTACAATTACAAAATTTTCAGGGTAAATATTTTAAATCATATCAGTCAAATGTCGCTATATATTACCTGTTGCATTTTCTTGGCAAAAGGTTGTTCTTGATTTTGGCACCAAACATGGGAAATACTTTATAAACTAGAAACCTAAAATTCCAAACAATATTTTCAATAGAGTTTATAAATTTATTTCTCCTCATAACCAAAACTATTCTGAGAGAAAATTTACTCACTAACTAAAAATCGAAAATTAAGTTTCACTCATCTATCAAATATTTAAAAATAAATTGAGAATGTGAAAGTAGCATGTCGAACTAGAATGTCCTTGATTGGGAAAGTGAAAACTCATTTGGACTCATTTTGTCTTGGGATAAAGCCATTCCTACAATAATTAGCATTATTGTGTGAAACTCTTGTAACTTTGCATGCCGGAATTCCAAAATTACATCAAATTTTGCCTTCAACCAAGCCTTTTCCTTTGGAGATAAAAGAAAGTTACTCTGAAAGTAAGTCTTTTCTTATTATACAATATCTTCGCTAAATAATAAATTGGGTAATAATCAATCCAATTATTTTGAAGAATTTTTAAGTGTTTATTAAAAATAATATCTTAATTAAAAAATATATATATTTATATTTGACGAATGTAACCAGAATTAATTTATATTTTATTCATTTTTATTCGAACGACAAAACCATTTTAAAATGGATTAATCAAACTTATAACCATATAATATAATATATATATAGGTTTAGTCTATTTTTCCACCCCTACAAGTGACAATTAATTTTAGGGCCTCATACGCAACATTCTTCTACGTGAATCGGCTGAAAAAGTTGAGAAGGATTTAAATGTCATAACTTATTAATAATTTTTCAGAGCTATAAAACTTTTTGGAGTAGGATTTGCTGGTTTCTAGAATTTACTTCAAATATAGTGAATTTTTCAATGGTGGAATTAATTCCTTTAAGTAGTCATCCAAAATTTAAGAGTTGTCTATAATTAATTTTTATTGTTTAGAAAATAATATCACCCATACAAATACTATAGGTAAAACAGGTTAAATAAATATATTTTTTAAAACAAGAGTAGAACTTTAACAATCAAGTTGGAAAAATAATAAAATTCTGTATAATTTAATTTGTAATTAATAATATATAACTATAATGCATGGAGATATTTATGGGAAAAACTTATATGCGTTGTATGTTTACACTAAGTCAATGCAAAATACATTATTAAGTGATTTAATGAAGTAAAATGAATTATAAATTAAATATATGGTATGTATGTATTGATTTGGTGTAAACACCCGATGCAGTTAAGTTTTACCCTTATTTATGTGTTATCTTTAAATTATATTAAAAGAATAATGGTGAGATAATGACAACACTAGAGCTGTCAATATGAGCTAGTCAACCCATCCGGGCTAACCCATACATGCTTTGACATTTTATGGGTCAGGTCGAGCTAGCCTATTTTTTACGTGGGTAGAAAATGGTTGACCCAACCCACAAGTATGTGTGCAACAGGCTTGCTGGGTCAGCCATTTTTTAAAAAAATTATAATTTTTTTTATAATTATTAAATTAAATTATAAATATATAACTTACATAAATATTATAGTGTAAAACCTAAATTACCTTCCCTATTATTTTTTATAATTACATAAATCTCATATTTTCTAGGCATTTCAGATACATAATTAAGGATCCGGATACATTATTGTTGATATATTATGTATCAATCTGTAGCACTTATTAAGGGAAAAAACTGTAAAATCAATTTAAAATCTCATAGTATCCATTTGTTCCACTAATTAAGGGGAAAAACTGAAAATTAAATTAGGATTCCACAAATTACGTTATTCCATTCAAAATTATTATCAAGAATTCAAAATCCTATAGTGTAACAATCCAAAAAAATCACAAAATTAAATTTCTTCTTGTTCATCGTTCTCTCTGTTTCATAAAAAAAATTGTCAAAATTTTGAAAAGCGGGATGAGTTATAAAGGATTGTATGGAATCGTTGTTGGACAAACGATTTCTTTTGTAAATTTTCAAGTTCATCGAATATCTTTTCGATTTTGATTCAAGATTATTAAAAATTTTGAGATTCTAAATTTTTCTCCAGTCATTCATTGAAGATCCTTTCCATTTTGATTCAAAATTGACGAAAATTTTGAATTTCAAAATTATTCTCCTAGTTCATTGAAGATTCTTTCAATTTTGATTAAAAATTATCAAATTTTTTGAGAAGATCCTGTCAATTTAAATTGATAAGTGTTGTATTTCTACTTGGTACACTAAATAAGAAAGTGTTGCCCACAAAATTTTAGGTTTGAGATCTATACATTATTATTTGGCAATTGTTATGTTACAAATACATTGAGTGTAAATTCAAATTTACGTACATAACTAAAAAATTAGTGTATGATATATTATATTTATGTATGTTCTTTTGTTTGAGATCATGAAGATCCTTTCGATTGAATTGATATATATTATATTTTTACTAGATATATTAAATAAGTAAGTGTTGCCCATAAGATTTTAAGTTTGAGATCGATAGATTATTGTTTGGTAATTGTTATGTATAAGATACATCTAGTATAAATTTAAATTTACGAATCATAACAAAAAAAATAGTGTTTGATACATTATTATTTATGTATGTTATTTTATTTGAGAAATACGACACTTTAAATTTTTTCAAAAGTACATTACAGTAATTGTTTGAGATCGATATATTATTGTTTGGTAATTGTTACGGATCAGATACATTTAGTATAAATTTGAATTTACGTATCATAACTAAATAAGCGTTGATACATTAATCGTTAAGTAAGATACATTACATTTTATACATGATACATTAATCTGAGATACATTAATTTGATGCGCTGATACATTAATTTAATGCGCAAAAATGAGGGATTTTGAAAATTTGTAAAACAATATATTTAAAACTCGAGCATATGTCCTTTCTCGATTTCTTCGCTCACAGACGCATCACGAATATAATTTGATATTGTGTACGAAAACATATTCTTCTAAATTTGAATAACCGTAGAAGATACATAGCAACACTAGATACATGATAAAATGATACATTTAGTAGAGACTACTTCTTTTCATTTCATAATATAGTTTCACCAGCAAAAGAGGATCTCCTAAAACTAATTTTTTTGCAGGAAACAATAGAATACATCATATCTTTTACCTTTTCCTTATGCATATTGTGAAGGTGAAAATGGAGGAGAATCACGGTAATTCTTTGGAAAAAATTGTAAAGCAAAAACTTGAGTTGTTTTGAAAAAAATTGTGGAGAGATATTACTGAAAATAGAAAGAATATTAAAAAATGAAAGAAGTAAAGATTAAGGGAGTGAAAATAGGAAGAGATAGAGTGAGTAAAAATGAGAAGAGGATGAGTGAGTGAAATAAGGAGTAAAAATAGAAAAAAAATGTGTATAACTTTATGTATCTGGAACAATGGGTTTGAAAGGAAAAAGAGAAAAAGAGTGATTTTAGAAATATTTTTAAATGATAGGAAATAATAGAAATTATGAAAAATAAAAGTTGTGTATATAGGTAATTTATCCTTTTATATGTATATATATATATATGCAGTGTTATTTTTCAATGAAGTGGATCCATGTGAACCCACTTGACCCTATATGGGCCCGCCCCTGCCTACCTATATTTCTCAATTCTTACAAATCAACGGACTTATTTAGGCCGGATTAAAAAACTTTTTTCTTAAATGGTCTTCAAAAATCTTAATTCAAACCCTATTAAATCCCGAATTAGGTCAGATCGACCCAACGAGCCTAGCCCATATTGATTGCTCTAGACAATACCTACTTTGTCCCCTCTACTCACTAGGCCACCAAACCCCTAATCAATTAAATCAAAGTTAACATGTTTTTCTCAATCCACTTGTAATTATCATAGTTTTTTTAAGAGTAGAATAAAAATATTTTTTTTTGCGAATTCACTCACGTCATTCTTATGCATGAAACGCCAGACTGATTACTTCAAATGTTGTGCCAAAGCTAGCTGCATTGGGTTAAATTTCCCCAAGCAAAGTAGTCGGATAAATGTGTATGGCGTCTCCTTGAACAAAATTTGTTAATGATTTCATCTACGCTAATGCTGAGAGGTGTGTTCCTTGCTCTACTTATTCTAACAAACACATGTAACTATTAGGAACTAAAGGACTGGATTAGGAACCACTCCCTACTTTCGTGCTTTCTATTTGTTAATCGTCTGTTAGACTAACAAGCTAAGACAAGAAATATTTTTATTTAATAGGATCCCAAGCTCCAGGAGCTACATACATAAAAGATAACATTGGCTTGTGATGAATGAAGAAAACAAGCAAAGCAATAGAAAACAAGAAATATTGCGACATTTTATCCAAAGGTTAGTTTGGAAGTGGAGGACAAAATGTGAGGGTCTCTCTCAAATTCAGTCATGTCATTTTCCTTCATAGTAACAATTATTTCTATTCCATCACCATCTTTTGTGTCCATCAGAGTAGTTTGTTCATAAATACGGAAGGAAACAGGGGTCACCCAGAATGGTTTTCCCCAACCAAAGTCAGTTTCATACCAAGGTAATTTGCACCAACTAGTGGTGCCATAAAAGTCCATCTTGTCTCTTTGTACAAATTTTTCAATAACTTTTATCTGATTGTTAAGAGTTAGAGAGTAAATATCATCAACTTTTGACGCCTTATCAATGGCTGCAAATGTCTCCCCTATTCTATTCCCTACCAACTTTACGAAACCATTCAACTCATCCTTTCTTGCCACATCGCCCTCCATATTAGCAATTTCTGGTATTGAAAAAGTCCCTAGAACATGTTCTGTAGACGGAATACATGACACTTTCCCCCTGAAACTAATAACAAATCCGAAACACGAGTCCCTTGAATTTCCATTTTTGGCGGAAGATATGCGTGCCAGAACCTTCCATAATAAGGACATAACGACCACCAGTCTTGTAGGCTTCCTCATCATACTTGAATCATCTTTGATTGTTTTTTTGAGGCTTTCTATTGCCGAAGCATCAAAGACAAACCTCTTTGTCACATTCTTATAGCTAGGGACAGTGGTAGTAGTACTACTAGTGTTGGGATCAAAGGATGGCAACTGTAGCATTTTTGGTGGAAACAGGGATGATAAGTCACCAAACTTGTGGAGGTCATTATTATCTTGAGGCATCGACGACAACGTGTTAGTGTGCGCCCATTCATTTACAAATGTAGCTAAAGTGAAAGCATCAGCTAGGAAATGTGAAATTTGTATCCCTATGCTTACTCCTCCATTATTAAATACGTTCACTTGGACACCAAATAACGGACTTGATGGCGATGATAGCTCAACATCTTTTATTGGAAGAAGATCAATCAAAGACGACTCAATATCATCATCGTCTTTACCCAGAAATTGAGCAAGATCGTCTGCATTGACTTTGGTTCGAACATATTCAACACCTTCATCATTGCAGTCGATGGAGAATGGATCATCTTTTGCTAATCTTCCAGCAAAAGGGTAAAACTTGGTTAGCGTCTCCGCCAATGATTTTTCAAGCTTATCATCATCATATGATGAACTGCTGCTCGGCAAGTAGTTGAAGACGATTGATACATATGCAGAACGAGCCAGCTGATCAAACAAGGAAATCTTCAGTCTCCGAAGATTATCTGGTGTAGGAGCTGAGGGTTTCAATATTTTCCTTGTCTGAATTTCAATATCTAACTTCGCCATTACCATTTAGATTTGGTTGATGACAGATACTATAATAACTTTAATTCTCTCTTTCAACTTTGTACTATATATATAGAGAATTCCCCAACTTTTTAATCTTTATTAGTTTAATACTCATCCATCTGATTAGTATTTATTAAGTACTACTCCATCATAACACATGGAAAATAAAAAATTTAAGTAAACAATTTAGGTCATGTGTTGCACTTTCTTCATCCTATCAAATAAGATTGTGAAAATCTCACACAATATTCTCTTTTGATTATGTAAAATCACGTTCACACTATCCCTCATAATCTGCAACATATCCGGCTTCAAATTAATTTAATACTACTAATTACTATAATTCTTTCTATGTAAGTTAAATAATCTTCAATTTATCATTTGTACATAACAAACAACACAACATACTCTTTCTAACTCTTATCTTTCATGATTTTATTCAAAAACTTTTTTCTAATAAATCATTGGATTAAAACGACGTGACCAGAAAATAACACTTATACTCCCAAAAATATGTTAAATATTTAACCTTAAATGTCTCATTACTTTCATATTCGACATATATACGGGTGGATTCGATTGAGTAATTTTTTCATCATACTAATATGCAAAATATCACAATTTATAGTACTTTTTGTATAGTTTTTAAATGTTTTTTGTTTAAAATATCGAATTAATGTGTTCTAATTTAACTTTAAAAATAAATCAAGTTTATTTGTAGATATTGAAATTTTATGAGACTCTACAAGGTGCATTCAATTCGAGTTGAGACTGTACAAATTGTGTTCAACTCAAATTAAAAATTTTAAAAATTATTCAATCCTAAACTCTAGTTCATGCCTATATAAAGTAGTATAAAATTATCCTAAAAAATATTTCAAAGTACTCCATAAACTCTGGAATATTTTTTAAAGATCAAGATCTCAAAGATAATTCCAATTCATATGCCTGGCAGGCCATTAGTCAACTCTACAGACTGCCCACATGTTTATGCAACTTTTCAAGCCTTAAGTTTATTTATTTAATAAACATGGCACGGAAATTGGATTAAACAATTAATTTAGGGCTTCAATTATCATGTGTTACGTTGTGTTAACTCTATCTGACACCAAGGACATATGATCGGGTTGATTTAGATTTTTTAAATATTAAATTAAATTATTTGTATAGATTTTTATATTTATGAGTCAAATCAAACAAATAAAGTTCAGAGTTTTGAATTTTTCAATCTCTGATTGGTTTGAGTTTTTCAAATACCAAATCAAATTATTGTATTGAATTTTTAAATTTACAAATCAAAACCAAACTAATAAACTTTAAATTTTTCCAGATTTTTAGATTTTTTATGGGTAAACCTTACATACAAACATATGATTAACTTGTGGTTTAAATATTTCTTTTGTTCCAACTTACATACAATTATCTAATGTTTCTTAAAAAAATAACACAAAAATATTAAATGAGTATTGATGACACAAAAATATTCAGTAAAAAATGATAATAAAATTATTATATAAAATAAATATTGTAAAGTCTTAATAAAAATAATCAAAATTTAAAAGTACTAAATTATGCTAAAATAAGTTTAATAAGTATTAGTTACATTATTAAATATTTAAGAAAAATTAATTATTTTTAAATCAAGATGGAACCTGGTGAGGTAAAACAGAAAAGGGGTGGCTATGCCTTACCCTCGATATACATCACAGATTGCAAAGCATCTGTCCAAAACTTGAATCCAACAGTAATTATTTAATAATGGTGTGTTAAATAAAAATATGAAATATATAAAAGAAGGTACTAGTTTAATTTTTGTTTTTTGTCACTTTTATCCTTTTTCTTTCCAATGATGTCTTCTTTCCCGATTAGATTGTCCAAAACTTGAATCCAACAGTAAATTGAATCAAAGAAAATAGTATTGGATTATCAAATTAACAGGTTTATAATGACATAATAAAATAAAAAAAAAGGAAAAATCTTTTTGACATTTTATTTTTTGAAATATTTTTTTTTCTTTAATATTTTTTAACTATAAAAAGAAAAAAACACTAGTTTATTTTAAAACGAAAAAAATATGATTGTTTTTTTAATTTTTTAGTCATTTAACACTTTTTAAAAAAAATTACAATTGACTTATCTATTTGATATTGATTTTTAGTATTGAATTATTCGATAAGCCGATAACCTATTAAGACGATAATAATATTAGATTATTCGATAAGCCGACAATGAGTGCTACATACCTCACACGACATAATACTTCTACTTCATCTCAAAAGTTCTGTATTGTGTTTTGATTGTAAGTTGTAGTATATTATTGTAGTTTACTTACTATATCTACTCTTATTGATGCAATTTCTCATTATATTTTTTATTTTGCTATGTCAAAATATTTATATTAAATTCGCTTATCTCACTATATCTTATCAGATTGTTAAAGAAGTGAATTATTATATATTTATTTTATGAAAAATAATTATTGGATAAATCAAAAAACTGAACCATTACATTAAAAAAATATTATCAGTTTACTGTATTTAAAAATCAATAATATATAAATTGAATCACAGCACCGATGCACGCCCCCCTTCCCACTACCTCAAAAACCCAAAATTTAATTTCTCTTATTAATGCAAGTATGTGTTCTTTCCCAATACTTTAAATTTAAAAAATAAAGTGTCCTTTCCCAATATCTCATAAAACCGAAAATTTAATTTATGGCCTAAGTCATATTTCACTTAAACACTTCAACTAAGAAATGTACTTATTAAATATTTACACCTTCAAAAATTTATATCTATTTGACACAAATTGACAATCAATTAAAAAATAAAAATGCGTGTATCTCAAACGCGAATTCACATTAATTACCAATAATAAGATGACACGTGGCATTACATTTAATTTTTATTAAAACCTCTATATAATTAATTCATAAAGTATTTTAAAAAATTAAAAAAAATAATCTATTTTTTTATTAAAGCCTCCACCCTTCCCACTTTCCTCCTCCTTCAAAAATATCCATTTTGGAGTTGGTGTCGCTCCATCTCTTTCTTCTCTTTCATTGGTATCAATACATACAATGACACACCATTGTTATCTATTCAAGCTAAATATGTATTATCTTTCATTTCGATAGCATTAAAAATTTTCACTCATTGTCTCCATCTTTTATACATTAGAAATAATTTATTAGAATTGAAAAAAATTAACAGACTTTTGCCCAAAAATATCTATTCATATTTTTTTATCATTGTAAATGAAACTTTTTCGAGATATTTGAGATGAAAATCGAATAAGAAAAAAGAGGAAAATAGGAAAGAACAATGAGGGTGAGAGAAAGAGAGGTGGAGGAAGTGTGGTGCGCGTGCCCGTGTAAAAAAAAAGAAGATAAAAATGGTGAAAGAATAATATGATAGAAAGAGGGAAGAAGACAACCGTCCTTCTTCTTTTTTGTTAATTAATTTTTTTAAAATTAACTTAGGGGTATAGTAAGAGCGCATATATATATATATATATATATATATATACACACACACACACACAA